TGTTTTGCTCTTTAGATTGAACCGGTCCTCCTTTTGAATGATATAACTGGTCCTCTTGATGGTTAGAACGAATCAGCTGGTTCTCTTGATGCTTAAAACATTGGCGTTTCAAGGCTATATATCCATTGCTTTCAGCTACAAGTTCTTTATTCCCCACGGCTACATGCTTTGCTCCTTCCTCTTTAGCTCCAAGGCTCTTCTCTTGGTCAAATTCTGATGTATAAGCAATGAGGATTGTATCAGCTTTTCTTCGCCTGCTTTCTTCAGTATTCCCTTCATACCTCTTTTAGTTAATCCAGCCTTGTGACTTAGCGTTGATGGTAGTCCCCCTTGGTTGTGCTTCAACCGTGCCCAGGTTGATAACTAAAGTTAATTGAATAATGGATGAAACACCCAATAGATGGATTATAGTGGCCTAGTGGATAATGGGCTAGTTAATCGGATAATCCTAGTTCCTTGGCTCAGGGCAAACCTCTTGTTTACAGGGCTACCTCTTCATAGGTCCCATTTCAATTCTACTCGGAAAAAAAGGATAGGAGATAATCCTCTTCATTCGTGAAAAGGAGATGATTTATCTCCTATAGTACGCAGCAGAAAACATTAATACTAGTTGAGTTTACTCCAAACTCAGCATCGAATTGAGAATGCTTAAGGACCAATGGCAAGCAGATTCACAGACTGAGGTGACTTCCTGATCGGCTAATTAAACAATTACCTCAAAACGTGCTTAATAAAGATTTCATGTTCAAACTTTTCTATAAATTTTTCAAAGAGGTTTGAACCTAATGACAAGCATTGAATAAATTAGCAATTATAGTCAGCTTATCAAGAGATTTAATTTATCATTTTAAGCGATTTATTCATTACATAATCTTACAAAACGTGACAGCAGAACAAATCCACGACAAAGACATGATGATAGTTATTGTCAAAACATTGAAATGCTAAAGTGATGTCAAAACATCCCTTTTAGCATTAGAAGACAAGTCTAAACAAAAATACATATAAATTCTATATGATATATAGATAATACATATGACGTATGATATGATTAAATCAATGTCGACCGTTAGAGTGTCCAACGCCTGGGCTGTTGCCTGGATTTGTAGGCCTAAAGTCTGTGGGGTGGTTGATGAACGCATTTTGAAGTACACTACGTCGTGTATATGTGACCCAAATGCTACGAGTCGTCTCAGCCTCAACTTTCTTATAAATTTGCTCAATCTCTAACGAAGTAGTAGTTGTCAAATGTCTCTCTTCTGTAGTCTGAGTTCCATAAAAAACAGCTAAAGCAAAGAAAAAAATACATGTAGAAATTGACTTGTTCGACATTCCCATTAGCCACGGACAAAATCGAGAAAATATAAGAATATGTAAAAAGAATATCTATTTTTTTTGTTAGATATGAGAAGAGAAGATGGAAACAAAGAACAATGAGGTATTAGGTATTTATAAAAGTAATGAAAGAGAGGAAGCTTTCACTTATTAGCATTGTCTTAAATGTGAGGAAATTAAATATATACTTCAATGAGGGAAATGATGATGTTTTATGATGTCTGAGTATATAATGTAATCCAGGTGATTCATACTTCCATATGTTTCCAACTTTGCATGTCTGCTCTCATATGTAATGTGTGTATACATGGCCCATGCATTTACACGCTCAGTTTTTTTTTTCCGTCCACAGTGGATTGAGGAAAAATGCTATTTATGCAAAGATTATTGAGGTTTACTATGACGATTGACGAACAAGAGAATCTAAATGCATATTATATTGTTTGAGTTTTAAAGGTTTTGGATCCGTTGCAATATGCACACGTAATCAAAAACCCTCCTTATAAGGATATTTCAAAATTCAAATAATTTAGGGTATAGGTTCGTTTGTCCTAAAAAAAATTCTTCTATTTAATTGTTGTCACTGTTTCATTTTGCTATAAATTGAATAGGAAAAGAATAACTTGTATATCCGAATTTCTTTGATGATAGTACTCACTAGGAGCGGAAAATGGATATAATTCTCACGATCTAATAGCTTTATTGCGTTTAAACCTTTTTTTCCTATAAGCGTCCGATTTGAATCTTTTTTTGTTAAAGAAAAGCTTTTTCAAATCAAGATGAGTTTTACGCATTGAATTTGAAGGCAAAACGTAACAGAGACAAAAGAAAAACAAAAACAAAAACAAAAAAGTTAAGTGCAATTCATGTCTTCACGAGTATTTACGTACATACATGGTAAGTTCTAATATCTATAATTATTATATAATTTTCCTTTTAATATTTAGGAGGTAAGCACCGATTAAAGAGAAGGTTGGGGATAAAAGATTGTTGATATCTAACAAGAAAGAACATGAAAGTATAAATGCATATCAGACTCTCAAATCAAGCGGAACAGTATCATTCATGCGTAAGATGGATCACCTTCCACTATGACTTGTCCCCGAAAGTACTATACATGCTAGGTTCTCTAGACCATGGCCTACTATTTGCTTTTTTATGATAATATATGATCTCGTTATCAATCGTATTCAACTATGTAATCATACAATCAATTTTGTTTTGTAGGTGAGAAAACGTTAAAAGCGTCTAGAGTATTTCTACCATCTGTCCATCCATCAAACCGGTAATATGGTGGTTAGTTATATTGACATGTGACTACGTGAGGAACCACAAAACCGGTCATTACGTTAGGGTAAATAAAAACTTTAATAACTTAATGGCCGAAAGAGGAACCAATCGAAGAAACAATATGCAAAGAGAAAGAAGTTAATTTGGTTCCTTTTGATTCGAGCAATGGAAGATACGAGACACGAGGAATGTATTCAAGCTTGGTTCGATCTGTGTTTGAGTTTGTATTTAAAAACTCAAACAAAAGATGTACTTGATTCAAGCTTGACGTCACTAATCTGTTAACTATACATTTGTTCTTTAATCGTCTTTATGTATTATGTCCAATCATATATTCGCTTTCATTAAAAGTTTCTTTTTCTGCCGTGAATGTTACCACCACATTATTATTAAACCACGTTAATTTGTTTCCCTCTTTGTGTTTTTGTTTGTCTTTCTTACATCCATTATATAACTTTAGATGTTCATTTTAGATTAAAGCAGTAATTAAAAAAAAAGAACTATAGAAGAACAAGAACCTGATATGAATTAAGTTGATTTCTTACTCTAATGCAATAAGAAACTTTATGTATTTTATGATTTGTACAGTACCAAATTGCAGTGAGACACACATTATGTTCTTATGATTGGTACAAAAATATAGCTTATCATGTAAATTTAAGTAGATACATGAGTAAACTTGTAAATGAGTACTAAAAAGCCAAGAACAAGAACCTGCTATGAAGTTGATTTCATACTCTAAGAGCATCTCCAAGAGATATTCTATAACTTCAAATATGAGGTTTGTTGCACTCCAAAAGAAATCTCAAAACTTCAAAATTAAAAGTTTTGAACAGTATAACTTTAAATTTGATGTTTCATTGTTCAAAACTTCAAATTTGAAGTTTCGCCTTTTTTATTTGTATTTTAGTTCTTATAATTATATAATATATCAATATTTATATTTTAATTTTGTTGTTTATCTCTTTAGTCCATATAATTTTAGTCTTTCATATATAAATTTAATGCGTGATTTCAACACTTTTAGCTCGCAATCTACAAATAAACAATAAAAAAAATTCATTTATCACTTCGAAATGCATTGATTGATAATATGTGAGCATTAAAAAAAAAGTTTTATTGAGTAATTTGTTATTTTATTTGTTATATATAATTTAGTTTGTGTATGTTATGTATTTTTATATTATCATGTAATATTCTATTGATTAATATTGTTTGTAATCTTTATATATATATATATATCTTTTAATTATTTATAATGTTAATTAATTATTATCAATATTAAAGACTATAATACAAAATTTAAATATTATTAAATTTGAAGTTCCTCATACCTAGAATTTGAGGTATATCTTGGAGATGCTCTAACGCAATGAGAAACTTATTCTATGATTTTTACATAATATATACCAAACTGCAGTAAGATGCACATTAATGGTATATAGATTAGTAAACTTGTAAATGACTACCAAAAAGCTGTAAAATGTGTCATAAGATACATTAAACGCTCCCAAAGTATAAATCTCGTCCGTCAAAATGAAGACAATTATTTGATAAGAGACATATATACACCGTGAGTGAGGGTGAAGAAGATATCAAACAGCGACATCATTATATGGGATAGTATCCACCATTGCTAGAAATGTTATTAGTTGGGCGAATTTGCATAAGGTAAAGTTGCCTTATTAAGTATTAAAAATTAGGCAGAGTACATGGAATTTAAGAGTTCGATAAAGAATCAGTATGGTTCACGAGTGAATTAGGTTTCAGACATGATTGTGTTGATGACTTGATGTCTTATGTGATTCATAAAACGTACTAGTCCTACCTGAACATATCAAATGTCAGACTCAGAGTCGTTCTTAAGGTGAAGCTAAAAAAACTCATGATTTGGACACCCAAATATACAAAAATTGGAGGGTCGACGTATTCTATTGGTAATGAGTTTATTTTTCTGCCTTACCAGTCGAATGGTAAAGAGATTTTTTCAATTTTGATGAGTTAAAAGAAAAAAATAATTTAATAATATTAATGGCAAACAGTTTATGGAAGTTATTTAAGTCAAGAAAGCATGTAAAACACCCGGTTAATGATAAAAAATTTAAACAATTAGAAAAATAACTTCAATGAGAAATGAGAATTAATATATATTTGCAAAGTAGAGGCTACATTTTTAGTGTCGTTTGTTTAAAACATCTGAAATCTCAAGGGCCAGTCATGTTTAGACTACGCTTATGACAGACATAATAATAAACTAAGATTTATAGAAAAGTGGTGAAGGTTTGCTACATAATAAATCATTTTAATATTTTTTGCAAAAATTCTATTGTTGAGCAAATTCTAAAATGTTTTAAAGGTGCTCATAATTAAGTATTTCGGAAAGTATGGTTTGAAGTATGGGATAACAAAATTAAGAAATTATAGGAACCGTGCTCAAAACTCGAAGCTAATGAGAACTTTTGATGTAATGTGGCTTAATTAATTAGAGTAGAGATTCTGATTCTCTCAGAGATTTCCGGACACTCTAGCGGAGGAAGAAGGTTTTCAAGGTCTTGATTTTGGCACAAGGTATTTATTAACAGAGCAATAAATTGTACAAACACTCTAAAATCAAATAGAGAAAAAAAATGCGCGAAAAAACAAATTCAAACTTCAAACTTCAAACTTCAAACTTGGTTAATGAACAAAGCCAAGCGTCGTACCATCTCAATAGCTTCATCACAATCAGGCTCGAATATATGAAACACGTGATCTTTCCCTTTCGTCTCCATAATCTCAGCTTCTCCTGTCCACTTGCTCTTCACCAACCTCTCGTAATACATTTTCCCTCTCTCTCTCAATATATCTTTCTCAGCTACCGTAACCATCACTCTTTCGCACCCTAACCCTTCAAGATCCGGTGACCCGTCAGCAAACGGGTTGATCCACGGGTCATCGCATCCTTTCTCCGACGGGCACACGAACCCCCACCATCCGTCAACCATTTGTTTTCTCCCTTCGTCATTAGCCTCTGATCCTATCAGTTGTGTTCCCCAGAAGTACGGGTGGATCATTCCTATGCCTTTGATTTTCACGGTGTGGTTCGATTGTTTGGCTCGGAACGCGAGGTGGTGCGAGATGTTTGCTCCGGCGCTATCTCCGACTAGGAAGAAACGGTTGAAGTCGGTGTAGTCGTTGATCCATGGCTCGTTGCTGGCTTGGATCTCTTGTAACGCGTTCCATGCGTCTTCGTACGCCGTAGGGAGTGGATGTTCTGGTGCTAGTCTGTCCAAAATAATATTCTAATTAATTTTGTTATATGCTTGAGAATAAATAAATTATTACCGAAAAAAGGGAACTAAACTAAACCAAAACAGAACATAAACCGTTTGGTTTTTATTATTTTAAATCTAAAACACCGATCGGAAACTGATCCGAATAAACCGTAGTTAATTTATATTAAAAAAAAGTATTTTATGAAAAATGTTTTTAAAGTTTTTGTTGGTTTGATTTTATCTGTTTTTTTTCAAGTGTATGTATATTAAACTTAATTAAATTTGATGTTTTGTGACTATTTCTATTCAGTAGTTATTTTTTTACTGATTGGTTATATTTAGATTCATATTAAACTAGATATGGATATGTGCGTTGCACGGATTTTAAATTTAAATTATTAATTTGTAATGCATATGTATCGTCGTAATAATACAAAACAATGTAAACATATATTGATTATAGGTAACATAATGCATGATTGATTATAGATAATATAATGCATATGTACTGTATAATAGCAAAAAGTAATGTTATTAACGTATCTAATAAAATAAAGAAAAAAAAACTATACCAACTAAAATAAAATCGAAGAGAAATTATTTTGTTTGATGAAAAATTGTTAGAGATTTTGTTTGTTTATATAATTGTGAGAATATTATTTTCCTTTTTTTTAGGATTAATGTTTTAGTATAGATTTTCATGAAATTTTAATTTTTTATTTTTTAAATTGAAATATATTTTTTTTTCGTCTAGAAATAGAAGTTTATTCTATATTTTTATTTTTTTCTTTTAGAATTAGAAGTTTATCCTATATTTTTTATTTTTTTTTCTTTTTGAATTAGAAGTTTATCTTAATTGTTATTATTTTATTTTTTTAAAGAAATATATCGATCTTTTTTTCCTTTTTTTCTAGAGTTATAAATTTATCTTATATTTTTTTTTTAAATTAAAAGTTTATTTTATTAAATTAATTTATATTTATCTTTTTATTTTCTGAATATAATTTTTAATCGACATATATCAAAATTTGATTGAATGAAATTGCCATATGTCACGATTATATGAATTACTAATTTTGATCCAACTTTATATAATAAGATGTGTGTTTAATGCAAATTTTTTTTAAAACTTATTTATCAACTTTTGTATTTTTTAACTTCAAGATTTTTAAATTCTATAATCAAAAACACCGACCTACTATTGGATTCCATAACTTTTTTAAAAAAAATCAAAAACCGAACGAAAACCACAATTGTAATAAACCAAATCAAAACCAAACCGACATACAAATTGTTTCAAGGTAATAGAAATGAATAACTTGAATTAAATCTCTTAACCCAACTAAACCAGTAAATGGGGTCAGCTTAAACCGGATGGTTTACCTGTAATTGACAGAGACGGCAATGACGTTAGCCTGAGCAACGAGTTTGTTAAGGCTGGTGTGGTAACTGGGAAAGGAGGCAGAAGAGATGAGAAATGCGCCGCCGTGGAAATAGAGCACAAGAGGAAGTTTGTTTCCAGGTTGAATCGGGTCGGGTCTGTAGATTCGGGCGGATATACCGGTTTTTGGTTCGATGATGATATCTTTGGATAATACACCGGTTTCTGGATCTAAACCGGAAGGGCAAACCTCGGTTCCAGCTAGTCTCCCTAACGTTCCGTCGCTGTGAACAACTAACCATGGAAGTACCTCTAACGAGACTTGCTTCTTCGTTGACTCCATTGCAGAGAGAGAGAAAATGTTAATTATTGGATTGCTTGGTAAAAATATAAGAAAGAAAGCTCAAAAGGAACTGCATATTCGATGATGATATGATGATATTTAATAATATATAAATAAAAAATCTTCATTTGATTTGGTGATCGGAGTGAATAACGTGTTTTGTCTTTTTCAATCAACACAACAATAACTCATAAATCTCTCCATGGCTTGACACATCAGTATTTTCAAGTTTTTAGGAGATGATACTTCAGCAAAAAAAACACTACTAAAAATATTTCATTAATACAAATCATCAATTTATTTTAACTTTTAAATTTAAATCCATTAAAAACCCAAATATTTTTTATTATTAATTTTAGTTTTATTTTTTGGTCAAGTCCAAGCCCAAATAATAAATAACAGCAAAAATTTTTATTTTTATTTTTTTAACAAACTCAAATAGTAAATAAAAACAAATAATAAAATTAAATCTTTGTTTTATATTTTTGCCAAATCGAAACTCAAATAATAAATAACAGCAAAAAAAATTAAAATTTCTAACTATGTATTTGCTTGATAGAAACGTATATGATTGAAGAAAGTGTAGACTCATCATCAACTATGCTTCTATAACAACAATGCAAAAAGAGTTATGTTATAAGAAGCTCACACATTAGAAAAAATTTGAACCAATAAAAACATAACAATAATACATATTATTAACACACTAATAAAATCAATTTACTATTTTGCTGACCCATTAAAAAGCCCAAAGTTTACAAAAAAAATTGGAAAGCGAAAGCAAATGAGGAGAAACTCAGACCACCACAGCTTGGAGATTCGCATTTCCACTGGTTACCGAGAACAATTTTTCTTGAGTTTGGCAGAAATAGAGAATTTATTGGTTTTGGTAGAAAAATGTTGATTTTCAGTTTTGGTAGGAAAACATAGTTTCTCGGTTATGGCAGAAAAAAAGCAAATTCTCGGGTTTGGCGGCAAAATGTGAATTTTTGGTTTTAGTGAGAAATAAAAAATTTGATTTTGACGAGAAAATGCGAGGAAAATGCAACTTTTCAATTTTGACAAAAAATATGATTTCTCGGTTTTGATAGAAAATGCAATTTTTCGGCCTTTGATGGATAATGTAATTTCTTGATTTTTGCGGAAAATTGAAATTTGACAATTTTGACAAAAAATGCAATTTTTCAGGTTGATAGAAAAGCAAAATTTCTCGATTTTGGCGGGAATAAACAATTTCTTGGTTTTGATGGGAGATGCAAATTTTCAGTTTTTGACATATAATTTGATTTTTGGTTTTCGAGGGAAAATATGATTTCTTAATTTACGTGGGAAACGCAATTTTTCAGGAGATAATGCAATTTTTGGTTTTTGCAGAAAATTGTAGTTTATTGGTTTTGGTAGGAAGGCGTGATTTTTGATTTGACGAGAAAAATAATTTTTCTTGTTTTGGTGGGAATAGACGATTTCTCGATTTTTGCGGAAAAATAATTTTTTGGTTTTGACGAAAAATACTATTTTTTGTTTTTGCAGGAAGATGAAATTTTTTGGTTTTGGTGAAAAAAATTGATTTCTCTGTTTTGACGGAAAAACACAGATTCTCACGGGAAAGTGTGATTTTTTTGGTTTTTGAGGGAAAATGCAATTTTTTTGTTTTGGTAGGAAAATGAAATTTCAGGTTTGACGAGAAAATGAATTTTTTTGGTTTTGGCGGGAATAGGCGATTTCTCAGTTTCGTGAAAAATAATTTTTTTTTGTTTTATCGGAAAATACAATTTTTTGGTTTTTGTAAAAAGATAAAATTTCTCTGTGCTAAATTTTCAAGTTATAATATGTTTATAGTAACCAAAATTGAATTATTTAACTTCAACTAAATTGATATTTCAACAGTTCAAATAGAACTTTCTATTTTTTAAATGTCAATTTGCTTTATATAATTTCAAAAGAGGATCAAGTAGCAATTTAGTAGAGAAAATAAATTATATCTACCATTAGCTTGATGGTACTTAAAAATGTATTGTTTTATTCTTACATATTATTTAGCTAAACAAATTTGATAGTATATTATAATTTAAAAAAAAAATTAATGTTTATTCAGATTTAAAACATATAAATACATAACTTAAGCTAATAAAAAATAAATATAATACTCATTTAAAATATATAAATAATTTTATTATATACAAATCTAGAAAAATATTCCGCAGCGTAGCGCAGGTAAATTTCTAGTTATATTTAATGATTTGATCAATAGATGAAAACTAAGATATGAAAGTTTAGGGCATCTTCAACCTATTATGCGATTTTCCATTCTATTTTTAAGTAAATGTATTTTTATGTCATTTTCAACTTTATTTTATGAGTTAGTTTATTCACTAATCATATCAACGGTGAAAAATATCTATACTAAATAAAATAAACAATTTGGGGTTCCAGAAACTATCCACCTTAGCCAAAAATCTTTTCCTAAACTTATGCTACGTGGCCATATCTCTTTATCTCACATCGGAGTCTCATATGAGACAGTCCACGACTCCACGTCCGTTCATTATTTCAGAAACGCCTCTTAATTAATCTGCTAAAAACGTTATGCACAAACCCTACTTAAAACAGAGTTATGACTCCAAGTAAACCCATCGTCTCCCATAATACTACATTCTCTTTGATTCCAAGATCTTCTCATCTGCTATAGATTTAGTTTTATTATCTCTACTGCAGTTCATAAGACCATTTTCACTTCCAGGAAGCATGAGAATTTTCACAGGCGATAGGTAAATACTGTCCTTATTCTTTACCTTCTCTTATTTCTCTTCGATTTATGGATTTCTGAAATTAGCGTCTCCATATATTGAATTTGTGTTGTTTTGCTTTCATGTATCGGCATCAAGTTATTGGTTTCATGTAATTATGGAGAAGCATCGACTCGCAGTTTCGAATAGTGTTCCAGATCAATGAACAAGAATGTTTGGACGATGACAAAAAAAAAATGGAGAGGTGAATGCATCTCGAGGTAAGTGAGGCACGAGAACAAGGATTTGATAACATCTTAAGCCCTGGGCGAGTACACAGAAAATGAGAAGTCACATCTATGGTAATTGCGCTGTAAGGATCATAGAGTGCAGCTGATGACTGTAAAAGTATGGACTACATAACTTTTATATTACAGCCGGAGAGATTTGGAGTCAAATCGGAAAGTTTTGAGACCTCCAAGAAGGTCGATGAATACTAATTACCAATTAGTTCAACGGAAATCACACCTTCGAATTGTGGATGTACAATTTCCGTCAGTTTTGCTGTCATTAATATTTTATTCAAAAATTATCATTAGATACCTCTCATTCCGTTTAGAAGTGCTGGTTAGAATATATTTTTGCTTTCTAGGGAATCAAAGTTTAATACCAAGAGTGCAAGTTAATCACTACCAAAAACATAGAAGCGACCAATGACAGAGAAGAAGATGATATAGAAAAGCAAAGTAAAATGTTTGAGAATCGTATTTATAGTTCAAAGGGATCAAGGCAAAGAAGCAGGTAAATATTCATTGCTTTATGATTCATGAGTCTCATCTTATTCACCAATTTTGACACGGTTGCACAATTCCTATTACAGAAGATAGAAAACTAACCACATACCAAAAGAGCAACCATAATTGTAAGTATATTTATTTCTTAACTCTACATTCAATACCAATATAACTATATAACTTATGATACATGTTTTTTTTTTAATAAATTTTTAACTTACGATACATTTTAACGCTATAATCAAAAGAGAAGGGAGTAGGGGTCAAGCATGTGGCAAGATAGTAGAGGTTTCAAATCCTAATCTTCAAATTCTTAAGCAAATCTGATTTTTACAGTTTTTATTCAACTTCTTCGGATTTCAATTCAAGCTTCCCATTAGTACGGTGTCCAAGCTTGGAAGCATATTGTTTTGTGTATGTACATTAATTCAAAGAGTTGTTTCTCAATAATATTATACTGAATACATAAAATTTGTTTGGTGAAAAAAAATGTTTGGGAAATTTTAAAATTAGATATAAAGTATATGTTATAACGCGAAATTCAAAATAATTAGTCATAAAATAGATGAGGGATCAATTAAAATATATGTTGCCAAACACGAACATTTATCATTTAATTATTTTCTATACAATAAATATTTAATTGTTTTTGAATCTATAAAATCATAAACACTAACTATGATACAATTTTTCACATATCTAAAGTACACACATTTTATATAACATGCTTAAAATTTTTTGGGGCTACTCAAACCATCCACATCAGCAAAAAATCATCTCTATAATCATGTCACATCAGCAGATTTTTAATAAAAATATTTTTTAATATATTTATAACATGCTTAAAACTAAATAGTATTTAAATAGAAAATGTCATAAAAACTTTTCTAACCATCTACATCAACCAAAAAGAAATTATATACAAACTCAACATGTAAGGATAACTAATATGGTTTTTTTTTTGTTAAAAAATTCTTTTAAAAATAATATAATATATACTATTAATTTAATTATAGAAGTTAACCAATATATATATATATATATATATATGTAGTGTATGAAAAATATCTAAGTTAAATTACAAACAAATGCAAATGAACTTTTTACACATTTTGAGTTTTGAGAAACTTGACATATTTTGTTTAACAGAATGAGTTAGTATGAAGGTGTATTTGTATATGTATTACTTGCTTTATTCATCTACACTTCTATAGTTTACCAATACTTTAGGCACCAAATCCAAAATGCAGTTTATCAATATGATTATGATTTTGTATAATATGTAAATGTTATTTTCATTTATATGAACAATAGTTCTTTTACGGATTTGTAAGAGTTTTGAACATTGATTTTTGTTTTGTATTTAAGACTACTCATAAAAAAATTAATTACATGAACACAATTGAAATGAAAAGAAATCTAAATTAATTGGAACAAAATATAGGTGTTTAAATTGTAGCCATATGTTTGATAATTTAATTTATTTATAATGAATAAACTGTTTTAAATTAGATAAATAGAAAAATTATAGTTATTGAGTTCAATTATATACCAAATTTTG